TTTCCAGGACTTTGTCTCTGCGGCCGTCCGCCTTAGAACGACGGTGGGGGCAGTGGGGGGACACACAGCCGGGTCTGCCCTCTCCAGACAGTGGCCAGTGCAGTCCTGCACCTCCCCTGCCCGCCCTTGTGGCCTGGCCTCCTGCGATGCATGTGTCCCGGCGATGTCGGGGCCCCTCGGGGGACTCATGTGAGGCGGGGAGGGGCCGGGCCCGACCCCAGCCGTGCAGGTGTGACCTGCCCATCCTCCAGGGGACCCTGAGGAACGGGCCTCCCCGCGGCTGCTCCAAACACAGCCCGGTCTCCGCTGCCCGAGGAAGTTTTCGAGGGGACGGGCCTCGACGGCCGGGTGCCAGGGCTCGCTGGGCCCCCGGTGGGTACACAGGCCCCTTGCCACCTGGCCCTGGCCATTCCCCCGCAGGCCTGCTGCACCCGGCGTCTCCGCCCAAGCCTGGCTCATGGCCATCCACTGTGTGGGTGTTGGGGGCCGAGACGCAGCCGTGCGTGGGGGCTCACGTGGGCGCATGCGGGTCTTTCCGACACCGGCTAGCGTGCGCCTGGTTTGTGCGACCCCCCTCGAGACCACAGATGCTGCCCCCCAGGGCGGGGGGAGCGACCCCCGCTCAGGCCCAAGGGGAACAGGCAGGCCTGGCCTTGGAGCTGTCACCAAGAGCCGCGAGCCTGGGGCCAGAGAGAGTCCAGGGCTGGGAACCTCTGGGTCCCCTCACCATCCCCCCCCCCAGCCCCACCCAGAGTCAGCCCTGAGCACAGCTGGGTGTGGCTTCTGAGCTGAAAACAGCGGGAAACAGTCGCGGCCTTGGGCTGCGGGAACGGTGCTGCAAATCTCTGGGGACACAGGTGTTTGGGGGACACGGGCGTTCGGCGCTCGGACGATCTGCAGGTGAGCGAGTGCAGACGGTCAGGGAGAGACGCCCGGGACAGGGACACGGGGAGTCTCCTCGCACCCGGCACTGCAGGGGTCTCCCTCAGACCCGTGACCGCTAACGCCTGCAAGCTGGGAAAAGGTTTGTTAGACTTCTATGAAGGAATAGCGAACAGAGTCGGTTTGGGCGACTCGGATTTTCACATTCGTGAGTTTCCCTTCATTCTAATTTTGCACCAAAGACAGTTTAGTGATAAATAATTTTTTAAGTAATATTTGCCGTTTTTTTTTTAAAGAACACCTCACATAATAGACTCACCCCACTTTTTTTTTTTTTTGCTTTTTGGGTCACACCCGGCAATGTTCAGGGGTTTCTCCTGGCTCATGCACTCAGGAATTACTCCTGGCGGTGCTCAGGGGACCACATGGGATGCTGGGAATCGAACCTGGGTCAGCCGCGTGCAAGGCAGACGCCCTACCCGCTGTGCTATCGCTCCAGCCCCAGGCTCACCACACTTTTTGCGAAATCATTTGGCATAAACTCCGTGGCAATTATGCCGTGGAATACCATAGTTCAAAGCTCGTGGTCTCAGGATGATGTGCATTTATTTCTCTGTTTTTTTTTTCCCCTAACTTTTGGGTCACACCCAGCGATGCTCGGGGCTGACTCCTGGCTCTGCGCTCAGGAATGACTCCTGTAGGTACTCGGGGGACCCTATGGGATGCCAGGGATTGAACCCAGGTTGGCCATGTTCAAAGCAAACGCCCTCCCTGCCGGACTATCTCTCTGGACCCCCAAAGATGATTTGTGAAGGAGTATTTTCATCAGCCACTGCTTTGCAAAATCTCAACTCTTTAAACTTTTGTTTTCATTCTCTTTACTGTTAAACATACTCAAGGCTAATCTAATGACCACTGTTCAGTTTTTCCCCAAAACCCAGATTTTGCTTGTTTGTTTGTTTTGTTAATTTTTTTGGCCACACCCTGTGATGCTCAGGGCTTACTCCTGACTCTGTCCTCAGGAGTTACTCCCGGGGGTGCTGGAGGCTGGGGGATGGAGTGTTGACCCCAGCAGGGCTCCAGGCCAGGCCAGGCCCTGCCTACTTGTCCTCTCCAGCGCCAGACTCAGATTTCTAAGAAGAACTAAGATTTCTGTGGCCCCTTGTGCCGTGAGCCTGTGAGCCAGGCCGTTGGGGGTCAGGAAATCAGCAATCGGCTTTCTCTCCACTCGTGTCCTCCTGGAATCACCCAGACTCAGAAGGGCTGTGTGTCCCCTAGGGGTTCCCAGCGGGCAGTGCCTGGTCTTCGAGGTGGTGGCAGGGGCGTCCCCAGCAGAGGTCATTTGAGGGACCATATGCAAAGTCTCGGCTCAGATGCCTTAACCAGGAGGCCTGATTCCATCTGCTCGGCCATACCTGGCCACACCCCTGGACGTTGCCCCTCAGACAAGGGGGCAAAGAGACGTTTCCTCTTGGCACCTTCCTCTCGGCACCTCCCCTGAGTCTGTTGGGTTTGGGTTTGGGTTTGGGTTTGGGGGCTGCAGCTCTGAGCTCGCGTGTCCCCTGGCCCCACTCAGGGCTTGGCTCCGGGCCTCCCACACGCCGACCTGCTGGACTCTTCCTCCCTCCTCCCGTGCTCGCCTGGTCCCTCATTTTCAGCAGGGAGACGGGGGCCTCACTGTGGGCTCAGGGGGTGAGCCTGAAGGAGCGGGGTCATGGGATGCGGGATTTGGGGGCTCAGAGAATCGCACGTGGCCCCACACGGGCGCCTGTGCAGGAGGGGGGTGGCGGATGGGACCCCTCGCGCACAGACAGGTGCCCAGGCTGGGCAAACCTTCCAGCCCCTGTGATGCTTGGCTCAAGTCCACAGTCAGTGCTCAGGAGAGGCGGCGCCCTGGTGTGTCCTCGGAGGGCCAGGCGCCTCCTGCTGGTCGGAGGGAGAGGACCCGGTGTTCCCTTCGGGGTCTTCGCAGCTCCCCTCGGCGTGTTGTGACCCCCAGGGCCTCATACTTCCTGGTTCCACACTCTTGGCTTCCGGAGCAGTGCCCGGGCAGGGGCAGGCGGGGGTCCCGCAGGCCAGCTTGGCCCTCGCAGCCCGAGCACGGGGGTGAGGGGGTGGGGAGTTGGGGGGGTGGGGGGGTGGGGACGGCTCCGAGTGGCTTGGCTAGGAGGCGGGTGTTGGCGTCTGCTTGGGGTCACAGCCGGCAGTTTTCGGGATCACGCCTGGCAGGGACCATGCAGGTGCCGGGGACTCACCCCCGCCCAGCTGTGCCATCACCCTGATCTCCTTCGTCTGGGGACCACCCCTGGCAGTGCTCAGGGGCTGCTCCTGGTTGAGTGCTTGGGGAGCTGAGTGGCTCCGGGGGGGCCTCCCTCGGCCCGAACCCCCGGACCCTGCAAGCACGAGCTCGTCCTCCCAGCACCTCCCCAGCCCTGACAGCTGCCGGAAATGCTGCCCTGACCCGAGTTCTACCAGAACCAGCAGCTGGTGACCAGGCGTCCCGCCAGCAGGCTGGGTACAGCTTGCTTCCGTGCATGTGTGTTCATGTGTTCACGTGTGTGCATGCGTCTGCATGCATGTGTGCATGTATGTGTGTGTATGTGCACATTCGTGTCCCTGTGCGTGTGTGTGAGAGACTCCTGGGGACCTTTGAGGAGTCCGGGCAGTGCCCGGGTGGTTCTGGGTGCAGCCCCCAGGGCCCAGCCTAGGCTATGAGCCCCCCCCTTCCTGGGACCAGTCCCCGCCCTGGCCATGCTGGTCCCTGGGGGGTGCAGCAGGACCTCACAGGGTCCTCCATCCCTGCCCGGAGTGATTCCTGGGCACAGAGCCAGGGGTGAGCCCTGAGCATCGCCGGGTGTGACCCCAAACCCAAACAGAAAAGTCCTTTTATCTTCCCACAAGCGCTGATCAGTGTTCCAGCATCGGTGTCTGTGTGCTGACAGGCGGCTCCTGGGCGGGTCTCTTGACTCATGGGGTTTAGAGTCCGGAAACCGAGAGCAGAGTCCAGCATCCGTGTAAAGGGGTGTCAGCAGCAGGGGGGTGGGGTGTGGGGCTGGGGGTACCAGCTCGAGCCGCCGGTAGAGCCAGGCCTGGGGTAGGCTCTGGGCCCGGGCAACTCCAGGCAGTGGCGACCCCGAAGGCCAGGCTTGTCCCCAGAGGGGCGGGATGGGTTTCCAGGACGCCCGTGAGGACGGATGCCGAGGATGGAGGAGTGGGGGAGCACCGGCCTGCGCGGTGTCGGGACGGGACTCTGGGCCCAGCGTGTCACCAGCGCTTAGTCCAAGCGGCTGGAGCAGGCTCAGGTCCGGCAGCTGCGCGCGCGTGGGGGGTGGGCGGCCGGCCTGGCTCTGGGCCCGGCTGGGAGCAGAACGGCTCCTTGCTGGACAGGCAGGCGGCCAGATGCGCTTTCAGGGCTCGGATGCAAATGAAAGTCCCGGAGGTTGGGGGCCGCGCAGGCTCCCAGCCCGCATTTGCTTAGGGGCAAATCTGCCTCCTGGCCGGCTGCCCTCCGCAGGGAGGCTCCGAGGCTCCGTCCTCCGGGCGCCGTGGCTGGCCCTGGGCGTTGTGTGTGTCTGGCGGAAGGACACGCTGTAGCTCGCAAATACTCAGCCCCCTCGGCTGTGGTCACACTGGGCTGGGGGTCTCAGACCCCGGGAGCGCCCAGGAGGGGGCCTCGCCCGCCCCCACCTTAATGTTTTGAAAGGGGAAAGAAGGCAGGCGGGAGGTTGGGACCACCCTGAGCAGGTGAAGGTTTGAGGCCGCTTCTGCTGCCCCGACCGCTCCCCTGGCCTCTGACCATCGCCCTGCCTGGCAGCTTCTCTGGGCCTGGGCAGGGCCCGCCTTGGATGTGGGGCAAGGGCCAGGCACCCACCACTTCCTCTCTGGGGTCCATGCCCTCCGCGGGGGGAGGTGAGACCGCAGGCCCCCACGGTGGGTTCCAGTAGGGAGCAGGGATGCCCGGCGGAGTGCCCGTCCCCCAGGAGACGCCCTGCGCTGCCCCTTGAGAGGGGAACTGGGAAGCCACAGCGGTGAGGGGCGTCGGGCGTGGGCAGGACCCCCACCCCTGGGTGCTGGGTTCCCCGCAGTGACTGGCATTTCTCTCTCTCTCTCTCCCGTAGGTGTGCCTGGCGCCATGCCCAACGCTTCCTGGGCGGGGAACCTCAGGGCCATCAAATGGAACGACATGGAGGATAAGCACGGGGGCTGCCATGGTGAGGGGGTGGGGAGGGGCGGGGAAGGACGGGGGGGGCACAGGCTCAGGGTGCTTCCATGAAGAGGAGGCCCTTCTCTCCCTCTCCCTCTCTTTCTCCCTCTCTCTCTCTTCCTCTCCTTCCCTGTCTCTCCACCCCTCTCCCCTGCCCTGCCCCCTCCTGCCCCTTCCTCCTGCCCCTGGCCCCTCTCTGAAGGCCCGCCTGCACCCCTGCACCGTCCTGGGGGCGGGGAGGGTGAGGGAGGACTCCCCAGGCTTTGGGGAGCCCGGTGGGTGGTCCTGATCGTGGCCCTGTGCGTCCATGGCGAGGCCCGGCCGTGCCACCCTGAGTCTCCGGCCCTGCCCGGCCCATCCGCCCGCCCCAGGTGCCGGCATGAGCTGCCCCTGCCCACCCGTGGCAACCCTGCCCTGGCCACGCCTCAGCCCCGAGTGGGTGTCCCCAGGGCCCTGTGGTCACCTGCTCTCCCATCCCGGGACCCTGTGGCCAGCCCGGCCCGTCCCTCACAGGGGCCAAGACCCTAGGTTCTAGGTTCTCCCCTCCCCCAGCCCTGCGCTGTCTCAGCCGAGGGGAGGGGTCCGGCAGGCGCCTTCTGGGGGCTGCACTGGGCATCGGGGTCGGGCTTCTGCAGGCTGCGCCCCCACCTGGCCCCCCACGCCCCAGCCGCGTCCCCTGGTGTCCACTCGCCCCTCCCCCCGCTGCGCCCAGCGGTCCCGCGTCCCCCAGCACCCACTCCCTCCGCCCCCCCACTGTCCCCGCAGGCCACTACGTGCATGGCATCTGTATCTATGGCCCTGGGGACCTGCCGTGGCTGCTGAACTCCCAGAGCCTGTTCGCCAACAAGTTCGAGCTGTCCACCTACCCGCTGACCGTGGAGTGCCTGGAGCTGAGACTCCGCCAGCGGGCCCTGAACCAGAGCGAGGTCCCGCTGCAGCCCAGCTGGGTCTTCTGAGCCGCACCGGCCCTGGTCACCCACGGGCACGGCCACCCACGGGCACGGCCACCCGCCTTGCACGGTCACCGCCGTGCACGGTCACTCACGTGGTCACTCACCTGCATACAGTCACTCACACGGTCACTCACCACACACAGCCACTCCGCAGTACATGGTCACTCACCCTGTACACTGGTTGGTAGCCTATACACTGGTCACTCACACACATGCTGGTCAGTGGCCTACACACTGGTCACTCACCTATACACTGGTCAGTGGTCTACACACTGGACACCCACCTATACATGGTCCCTCACCCACACACAGTCACGCACACACAGTGCCTGTCCCTTATACACAGTCACCCGTACACCGGTCAGTAGCCTACACACTGGTCATTCACCCATACTCTGGTCAGTAGCCTACACATTGGTCATTTGCCCATACACCGGTCAGTAGTCTACACACTGCTCATTCGCCTGTACACTGGTCAGTGGCCTGCACACTGGTTGTCCACCGTTGCAGCCACCCATGCTCTGGTCAGTAATCCTGCACATCCTGCACCCAGCCAGCTGCTGTCCAGTGGCCCGGAGCCCGCCCGCGAGGGGCCCACTGACCGGGAGCCGCGGCAGGCAGGGGCGAGGCCCAGCTCTCGGGAGGGCCCTGCCGTCCGGTCTGCAGCCCAGCCCGACACGCGGGCGTGGTCAGCCTCCCAGGCCACGTCCCCCCTCCACTCCGACTAGTTCTTGTTTCGTGTCCAGCACTGGCCTCTCCCCCACCCGCTGTCCAGCTCCCGTGAGGCTGCCTGGGGCCTCTGTCAGGGTCGTCCGAGAAGGCGCTCTCCCCGCCGGGCGTCCCACGGACACGAGGGACAGGGCAGTCAGGAGCAGCCCCGACCCTACCCGCCTCCCGCGCCCAGGGGACAGTGGGCCCAGAGCTGTGGACGGTCCAGCTGCACTCAGGGGCCACACCCGCGTGCTCAGGGGCCCAAACAAGCCCCCCTGGTCCTCTCGTCCGCCTCGGGCTCTTCGAGGCCCCTCCTATTTATTTATTCTAGAGAGAAGCAAGGACAGTGAATCAGTGAATGCAACCTTGTTATTCTTTTCCGTAATTGTGTCTCCTTGATTTTAATCTGATTAAAGGGAAGGACTCGAGTCTGACCTTTCCTCCTGCTCTGGGAACAGTGGAAACAGCGTGTGGTGAGCGGGGAGGGCGGGGGACGTCCAGGGCTAACAGCCGAAGGGCGGCGGCACCTCCCAGACCCCCCTGCTGGACCCCGGGAGGGGGCCTGTCCACAGGACAGATGAGCTGGGGCCGCCCCAGGCCTGTGCTGGTCTCCGGTGGGCGTCTTGGGGTGGGAAGGGCGTCGGCCGCTGCCCCCTCGTCTGCCACTCACCCGCGTGGCCTTCTCAGGAATAAATCGATGCTTTCCCCTCCTTGCGGAGAGTGCTGAGTGCTTTTCCCTGGCCGAGAGTGCTGAGTGCTTTTCCTTAATGGCCCACAGCCCCGCGGGAGGGCACAGCGGGTCTCGAAGCCTTCCGAGAGCGCAGGTGCCCACCCACTCGCGCAGGCGCTGTGCTGCTCCAAGGTCGTGTGGTGGGAAGAGGCGGTCAGCCCCCTGCCCAGCCCCGTTGGCAGGAGTTGACTGTCCCCATTTCGTCTTTTCCCCGACCCCTTGCAGGGTCCACGCGCCTGTGGCTGGATTCTCCTGCCCCACCCCCCGCCTCCCGCAAGACCGTGGGTCCGAGTGTCTGATTCTCAGTGGAGTTCTCACGCTGCCCGGCTCTGCTCTGCCCGCCCCGTCCTGCCCCGCTGGGTCTCCGCCGCCCGTCGTTGGTGCCACCCTCCCCTGGCCCCCTCCCTGCCAGAGTGTTTCTTTCCTCGTGGCTGAAACTCTGCTTTGGCTTTCTTTGGTTGTTGTTGTTGTTTTTTTTTTTTTGGGTCATACCCGGTGATGCCCAGGGGTTCCTCCTGGCTCATGCACTCAGGAATTACTCCTGGCGGTGCCCGGGGGACCATGTGGGATGCTGGGAATCGAACCTGGTTGGCCGTGTGCAAGGCAAACGCCCTCCCCGCTGTGCTATCGCTCCAGCCCCCTGGTGGTTGTTTTTATGGCCACATCCGGCACTGCCCCGTGGAAGGGCTCACGCTAGCCCTGCTCGGTCACTCCTTTTTTTGGGGGGGGGCCTTTTTGGGTCACACCCCACGATGCTCAGGGGTTCCTCCTGGCTCTGCACTCAGGAATGACTCTTGCCGGTGCTGGGGGACCCTATGGGATGCCGAGGATTGAACCCAGTTGGGCTGCGTGCCAGGTAAATGCCTCCCCACTGAACTATCAATCCGGCCCCTGCTGGGTCCCTCCTGACAAGGCCCGAGGGGCCGCAGTGTGGCTGGGGACGGCTTCGGCTTCCTAATTCCCCGCCGTCACCTCCAGAGGCATCTGTTCTGTTCAGAAAAGCTCGGCTCCATCTTCCCCTCGCAGAGGTGGCTCCGCCAGGGACACGGCCACCCCCTGTGGCCTCAGGGGACCCTCTGGGCCAGCGGCTGGCTCCTGGGGTCTGTATTTCCTTGTTGGAGGCCGTGCGGAGGCTCCCCAAACCAGGGGGCTTCCGAGCTTTTAGGGGGGCACCTTAGGGCTTGGGGTCTGCTGCCTGAGTCTTTAACCCATCCTGAGTTTGGGGGGGTGTGGGCACACATGTGTGATTGTGTGATCATGTGGATGTGTGTGTGATTGTGTGTGATTGTGTGCATGTGTGTGATCGTGCCTATGTGTGGGTGTGGGTGTGTGATTGCGTGCTTGTGTGCGTGTATGTGTGATTGTGTCTCTGTGTGAGAGTTGGTGTGATTGAGTGCTTGTATGTGTGTATATGAGATTGTGTGTGTGTGTGTGTGTGTGTACAGCAATGAGCATGCTTTGTTCTTGTGTGTGTGATTCTCCCGTTTCCCCTTGAAGAGGCATCTGAGGAAAGGTCGGCCGTGTCATGCCGAGAGGGCCGGGGATCCGGTGGGCAGGGGGCCTGGGTGTGGCCCCAGACAAACAAAGGGACCCTTCAGGATCAAGGCGGGGGTGGGGGGGTCTCTGGGTTCTCCTCATACCACAATCGACCAGGGCCCAGTGGGGCGGGCGTGAGGGACAGCAGGTACAGAGCTGGCCCTGAGCGTGGTGGCCAGGGTCGGCCCATGAGTGTCAGAGGAAGCGAGTGGTCCTGGGGGCTTCCACAGCCCCCAAGAGAGGGAGGAAGAAGAGGAGGAGAAGGAGGAGGAGGAAGAAAAGGAGGAAGAGGAAGAGAAGGAGGAAGAGGAGGAGGAGGAAGAGGAGGAGGAGGAGGAAGGACCCTCTGGCAGCCAGGAGGAACTCTGGCTTCTGTGGGAGTGACCACAGTGCCCAGGCCCCGACGCTGGGGTGTGCTGGAAAGTTCCTCCTAGCTGTGGGGGAGACACGTCGCTGTGGCAGCCCGTTACTGTGGGCAGAGGGCGCTGAGCTGCCCCCTCAGCTGTCATCGGGGAGGAGCGCTCCTGGGGACCGCGCCCGCCCCACGCACTTCACAGAGCACTGCCAACTCTGGCCACGTCGGTGCCGCCCCCATGCCGGCCACGGGCACCTGTGGAATTCAGCGCCTCCCCCTCTGCCTCCTCCTCAGCCCGGGGGAGAGCCAGTGGCTGGCAGCAGCCTCCGCAGAGTAAACACTGGGGCGGTGGCAGCGATGCTGGGAGCGGGGGAGGGGCCCAGCACCGCAGAACCATAGCCAGCCTTGCGGGACAGGTGAAGCCCCTCGTCCCTCGGGTCCCCCCCAGGGCCTCAGAGTGAACCTTCCAGGGGCTGCCAACGCACGTCGCCTTCCGCAGAACTCCTGGTTCCTCCATGTTCAACCCGGGACTCGGGGGCCGGAGAGATGGCTCAGTGGGTGGCGCCCCCACACCGCGTGGCCCTGGGCAGTAAGCAGGGGTGGCCCCTGGGAACCGCCAGGTGTGGCCCCCAAAGCCAAGGCAGGTTTAGATCTGCAGAAGCAAGTAGTGTATATTGAAAAGACAGGGTTGGGGGTGGGGGCGCTGAGTCCGCATCCACCCATCACGTGGGCCCTGAGCACAGAGCCAGGAGTAACTCAGCACTGCCAGGGATGCCGCCTCACGGGGGCTTAGGGCTGGGGAAATCCCTCGAAGGGCTTTGTCGGAGGGAGGCGGGTTCCACTGCCAGCCCACCGGGCACGGCTCCAGGCAGCCACACGTGGCCAAAGCAGAAGGACAGTGTCCGGCCGCCCTCCCGCCCGCTGTGCCGCTGCAGCAGGTCAGTTCCTTGTCGGCGTGGCCGCCCGGGCCCCTGGCCTCCTGACCTCACACGAGCGGCCGAGGGTCTTTCTCCTTCCGGCCTACTCGGCGCGCCCGCCCGGCCCCGCGCGTGAGAGCAGAGTGCGGAGCTCCCGTGGGGGCTGCACAGTGGCTGCGTGCGTGGCTGTGAATCACGGGACCCTTCTCCCCCCGCCCGTCCGCGCGGTTCCAAACGAGGCCGTCCTGAGAGCACTGCAGAGAACCAGAGCGAGCGTCGCCCAGAATCAGCGACGGGCCAGGAGAGAGAACAGCGGGAGGGCACTGGTCGCACATACGGCTGACCCCCCTCGAGTCCCCGGCACCCCCGAGCGCCCTCAGCACCACCAGGAGTGATTTCCTGAGCACAGAGCCAGAAGTGAGCCTTGAGCACAGAGCCGGGAGTGACCCTGAGCACAGAGCCAGGAGTCAGCCCTGAGCACAGAGCCAGGAGCGAGATAGAGCCAGGAGTGAGCCCTGAGCACAGAGCCGGGAGTCGGCCCTGAGCACAGAGCCAGAAGTCATCCCTGAGCACAGAGCCGGGAGTCAGCCCGAGCACAGAGCCAGGAGTGGTTCTCCCTGAACAAAAGTGTCTGTTAATCCCCCTAAAACTCAGGGCCGGCCTTAGAATGCTGGGTCAGATGCAGGGCGAGTGAGAATGTGAGCTTCCAGCCGAAACCAAACCTCGGGCCCTGCAGGCTACAGGCTACAGGCCTGCGGGCGCAGGGCAGCACAGCCCCAGGCAAAA